GGTGCCCGACAGAGTTGACAGTTTCACAGGGGTGCCCTACCACTTCACATTTACCCGAAAAATACGCAGTGTAGACAGCACTGGGTTCTGTCTCTGCCGACAGACAGACTTACTGCCTGACGATACTTCTTTGAAAATGGGTTAGCCAATGCGGTTCCCTTCATTGGCATTCATTCCGGGGACAGCGACGCAGCAGCCCAAAAGAGCAAAACTTTCAAGAAAAGACTTTACGGGGGGGGGAAAACGAAAACGATTTTCCGGCCAGCGGCATTGGCGGCCACAAACAATTTATCTTCCTGCGCTGGCCTATAAAAATGGCAATCATTATTATAGTCATGTACCAGGCAATGGGGCGTTACAGCAATCAACGCCAACGTCTCAAGACGTTCCATAAATAAGCGCAAAATTTCAATTTTCAACGACGCGCCCCTAAAGGACCCAGCAAAAGGGGACAGACCGCAAAAGATCATATATACATATGTATGTATATGTATATATTTATCTGCATGAGTGTGTGTATTTAAATGCACATTTTAATAGTCATAAAGCAGGGAAGCCCTCGAGCTGAACGAAAGCACCAAAATGCCAGCGGGCATACTTAAAGGTCTCCTCATAAGACAAACACAGGCACAGGCACGGAAGAAGATAGGCCCAGAGGCACAGATACAAGTACAACTACAGATACAGATAGAAAGCGTAAAGACAAGGCCGAATGCGCAACTAAAACAAGAGAATATATAGAAGAAGAATGCAATATAAATTATAAACGCAAACTGTGCGACAAGGATTTCTGGTCTCGTTCTGCTTTCTATTTTTTCTGTTCTTTGTTTTTTTTTGTTTTGGGTATTTTATACGAGTATTACGAGGTTTTGCCAGAGACATGCGATTTTGATGGCAAATGATTTTGTAGTTGGCCGGGTCTGAGAATGGGGGGGGGCGGTAGACCTTAGAAAATCAAAGCATAAATGGGCAAATCGAGCACATGGTACATGGTGCATGGCACAAGGTACAAGGCAGTTGTCGAAGGTCAAGGGTCATGCCGCCGCTTGTCGGATCATATTGAAATTTACTGCAGCCCTTTCATCTATCCCTCGGAAATCGGTGATATATTTATAGACTCGATGCGATTTGATGACGTCTCCATCCAGGCAATCGAACCATCCATCCATTCTCCTACAAAGCCCCTCCACGCCGCATGCAGATTTCCGTGCAGCAGTAAGCAGCGAAGTAACCGAGCGAGACTGCAATTGCCGCAAAGTCTGTGTTTCCCCCAAATCGATCCGTAGGAGGAACCCTCGAGTCAGTATAACTTCACCCCAATGTGCATGTGTGGTAGTGACTGTGCCACTGTGTGGAGGCCAGAGCGGGCCTGGGCCTGGGCCTATGTGCCACGCGATGTGATTGTGAGTGCGAAAATGTGACGACTCGACGTTGGGGCAGAGTCAGCCCCTGGCCGAGTCTGCTGGTTTGGCTGCTGGCTCTGGCTCTTGCTTTGGCTATGGGTTCTCTGCCGCTGCCGCTGCCGCTGCCACTGCCACTGCCGCTGCCTCTGGCTCTGTGCTAGGATGACGTAGTCCTCCAAGCTAAGTGTGTTAGTATGCCTGCCCTTCTCCACTCGGGCTTGCACATACACTCTCATACGTACACTCACAGAGGGTGCGAAGGGGCATTAAATGGTTCGTGTTTTCTTGTTCCTTTTGCGTCTTTTCCGTCTTCTGTTCTGGTGGGTTTTCTGCCTCTGCCACATCTTGCCGCTAGCCGCTTGCCGCATATTGGGGTCGCCTGACGTTCCATACTTTAAAAAGCGTCATTTAGTTCTGAGCGAAGCTAAATTATTAAAAGCAAATCCAACACACACACACACACACAGATCCACTCGCATGCAGACACCGATACTGGGACAGGCAGTTCATTAAATTCAATGTATGCAAACTGGCAGCAACAAATGTGGCAGAAGGCAATCTTCCACTTCCTTTCATCCCCATGTACTTGCACCACCATCCTTTGAATGTTCTTGCCCCCCCAGCTGTTGTCAATTTGTGTCCTCCTGCTGCTGCCCCAAAAAGTCACCAGTACTGCCTCATCATAATCATATGCTTCCTACATCCTTGCCACCTGGCTGCGCAAATATGTTTCGCCAACTTCAATTTGTGTGGCAGGTAGAGTAGCTGTATCTGTGTGGGTTGTGTGTCTGTTGGTGTGCTTGTGGCTGCTTTTTTTTATGCGTCACGTGAGAATTTCCTTTATTATTATTTGGCTTTTTCCCCGCCGTTGGCTCCGGCCATGGCTCCGACCATGGCTATGGCTATGGCTTTGGTACATATCACGTATACGTAGCGTATAACTCAGCTAAAAAGGCATTGATTTTTTTGGATTTCCCTTTTATTCTTGGTCTTCTCCTCTTTTTCCTTGTGCTGTTCGCTGGTTGCCACTTCATTTATTACTTTGATTGCTTTTCACTCTCCTCACCTCAAGCTTTGGTGCTTTTTTTCAAAATATTTGCTTGGCTCAAAAAGCAAAAGTTTATCCTGTTTTTGTTTGTGTTTGCACTTTTCAGTCGGGTTTTGCTTGTTTTGTTGGATGTGGTTCTGTTGCACGGTCTGAATCGAGTTTGGATCTCATCATCATCATTCACTCACACACCCAAAGACTCACTCACACACTCACACACAGATAGGGACACAGACAGGGAGACGACCACGCGCGCGTAAAAATATACTAAAGTACAAATTGCTCACAATTTCCTTCGTCGACTGCTGCTGCTTCTGCTGCTTCTGCTGCTGCTGGGCTCTGCTCTAGTTTGTTGTTGTTTCACTGCTATTTTCCTGTACTCCCCTTGAATTTTCCGGAGCAAGAACTTTGGACGACCACGCGCTTCAACGTATGACTACGTTCTGAACATGCAATCCTCGGATGTTCTAAGGAAATCGCCATCGTTGGTGAAAGCTGTTCGCAAATGTACACCAACAGGCGGCGGAGACCAGCACCCAGGACCTGCGCAATGGGCAATGGGAGAGAGGCGACCCTGCAGGTGACACACTTTTCCGCGCCAACCGTCGTCGATGAAGAGGCTTTGGCCCCTCTCGTCGCACGGCCTACAAAGTTTACTATTTACATGGCACATCGGTTTAGGGCAGCAGGCAGTTTTTCCTCATTTTCTTTCCACGTTTTTTTTTCGTGCTCAACCAAATTTCGCATGCATTGCCAGAAGGTAGGAGTTCTCCCGGACTGGATTCGACTGGACTCGGGTGTGATGTGGCGCAAATGTCATTTTGAATGCTGGGCCATTTAGGAAGCTGCTGCCAGTTCAGGGAGTTGAAAGTTCGCATTGGCCGCATCCATAATACATGACACGTCCTCCCTCCGAGAGCCGTCTTTCGGGTTGGCTCTGGCTAAGCCGGGTTAACTGACCTTTCGCCAGTGCCACAAAATAAAACAATGCCAAAGCCAAACAAAAGCAGTCCAAATTAAACGAAATATTCAATTGTAAAGTTCAGCAATGTTTGCTCGACAAAGTGCCATTCAACATCATATTTATCACAATTTAAGTCGACCACATTTTCGCAGAGTAAACATTTTAATTCGCTTAGAGAAAGTTGCCGTCGCAGCAGCAATTTCCAATTTAAATATTTAACCCAACATTTTAATTAATGAAACGAGTTGGAAATTGAGTTTGCCCAAAAATTGTGCTTATACATACCAAAATTTAAGGAATAACTGCGCTTGTATACAAGAGATGAACACTTTTAATTGGTATTAAATGAAACTGTTGTTTGAAACTCTTCTCTTGGAAGCACTCCAGTTGTACATTTGATGAGCACGTGAGCTAAGTGCAGTGCAACCACCAACGAAACCAGTGGAATGGCTAGATGGTTTCCACGCTGCACCTGGTACGTGCTACTTGAATCGGAAATGAATCGCGTTAAAGGGATTTATTTTATGATTAGGTCAATGCAAATATTGCATACTTTAAGGATTGACAATTTGGGGGAAAACATGTCTAGCATTGCATACTTTGATTAATGAAATATCAAATGGGGCTTATTTATTCATTTAATTTAAAATTTGATAACTGACTTGCATCAAAATTGTTAGAAATTATAACATTTTCTTTACAGCTTCTTTTGTCTCATCAGCTTTTGAATTTTTAAAGAAGTTTTTCGGGGTATATTGCAAAATTTAAAGCATGATCTTGTGTAATCTGAATGCTACTTTGACCGCCCACGAGTGCATGAATGTCTGACATATTTTTTAGATTTTTTCAAAATATTCATCGGAAGAACAAAGCACTTGGTGTAAATACATTTACGCACACACGAGTACCATTGCCGGAACCACTAACTAAATGCTAGCTAAAGTCGAGTTCTTTTGAAATGAGTGAAAAAAGGGGAGACAAAGTAATGCTGAAACGCATTCAACAGAACTGCGGGCAACATCAAAATGAAATGAACACCACGCTTTTGGGTAAAAGTTATACAAATTCACATTCGGGCACTGGACGCTGGCTGGTCCGTGTGTTGGCGGTGCCCAGAATGGAAACCGCCTCTGGCAACTGCGAAATGCGAAACGCGGCGCAGAATCAGAGTAGGAGAAATAGCATGAAAATGCTCAGACCAACGAAATCAACGCCAACGGCGGCTGCCTGTCAATTAAAACATTAAAACGCGCTGAAAAATGCACCAAAAATAAAAATAGGCGCAAAACAAACAAACGACACAACGATTAGAAGCATAGAATTTCGCAATCGAGCACTTAGAGCTGTTGGAACCCAGACTGGGGGAAGGGGCTAATGTGTGACCCAGTTCGGAGCACTGTGCAGGAAAGGAACTCTCAGCGGCATCGGCAGCGGCAGCGGCAGCGGCGCTGATTTGGCTATTGCTTTTTTTGATCATTAAAAACTGGTTGGCCAAGGCAGAAACTGCAGAAGCAGTCGGCAAAAGCCCATACCCATATCTCTCCCCATATGACCGACCGCCCATGTCTTTGACGAAGTTGCTGCTGGAGCTGCTGGAGGCCTTATAAACGGCCGGCGATGGCGGCCGCGAGCCGAGTTTGCCCGTTAGATTAGCAGTGCGCGCGCGTGTTTTTCCCACGATTCGGAAACGAAATATTCAAAGAAAAATTACAAGAAAATGAAGGATCGTTTTACCAGAATAGCCAAGGAAGTGCCCAGCATACTGCTGATTATGCTACTGCCTTTGCTGCTCGGAAGCACTGCCGCATTTCCGGATGGAGCTCCAGCCGATACGTGTGTAAAGCAGCGCCAGAATCAGCCCAACCACGGAAAGGCCCGCACACAGCCAGCCCATACGAATCCCTTTGAGGTGGTGGCCGATGCTCAGAGCTACCATCCGGGTCAGCAAGTCTCCGTGGTCATCTATCCGCACACACAGCAGAGCACGGTCTTCAGGGGATTCTTCCTGCAGGCCCGCGATGCGCACTCCAATGAGTGGATTGGCGAGTGGGTGCAGAGCGAGAACACAAAAACCATACCGGAGTGCTCGGCCATAACGCACTCGGACAATCGGGACAAGCTGGGGGCCAAGCTGATATGGAAGGCGCCGCAGAACAAGCGCGGCAATGTTTACTTTACGTAAGTGTGGTGCGGGATGACCGTCGAGGGGGCTTCTTGATGATTTGGCAATAAAGTAAGCCTGACAGCAAACAGTGTCGTCTGTCGTTTGTCACCATCATCATCATTACCATCACATAATCATCATCAGCAGTAGCAGTATTGTGGTACTGTGGTAGTATTAGGAGCACCATCATCGTCTGGGCAGGGAATTAATCATTAATCATACGACACGTTGACCCACATAACAAAATGCGCACATAATTGTCTGGCCGACAAAACTTGTCAGATAATCACACAAAAAGCATTATGTAATTGATTTATATGGAAAAAGTCAAACGTGAAAGAGTTCCATCCATCCATCCATTCAATCTTCCATCCAGGCATCCACAAAAAGGCAACAAACGGCAAAGACGCTTTGCTTCCCACAGCCAAACTCATAAGCCGAAGAAAAGTTGTCAATGCTTTTTATATGACAACAGCAACTTTGTGGCCAGATAGCACTGTCCTACATGGGTGGGTGCAGACTGGACAGCACAACGTACAGCAGTTGATAGTTTGACTCTCTTGTCATTAATCATTTTACCAAAAATTATGCTAAAAGTTACATTAAATGAAACAGGAAGTAGATAATTTAGAGAGATAGAAGCTAATGTCTAGGACTATGCAAATATCAGGACGACTTTCTTATTATTAAATTGTTTATTCCGAAATATTGCCAAGTTCAAAATCAAGAGGAAAAGCTCAAAGTACCAGCTTATGGGAAACAAACATTTACATAAGTAATTCAGAAATGTAAAGAAAAAGGACGAAAAGCTTCTTACAAAATGTTTAAAGATTCTTAAAGATGCAAAGTTTTAATGCCTCATTTTATATCAAACCCTCAATACTCCAACATGCTGTTGCCCAGTGTTACGGATTATAGCTCCCACATCAAATACCCTACCTGGAAACTGTCGTCATCAATTATTATCTATTTATATCAACCGCCTTTATATATAACCAACATTTTTGACTCTGCCATGCGAAAATCATGACTTGCTCAATTGTAAAATGTTCCTCAATTTACATTTTCCTTTTGCAGCGGCACTGTGCTACAGGAGTACGGCACCTTCTGGAGCGACATTGTTAACAAGGTGCAGGCTGAGCCGCAATAACGAAAATGATGTACTTATTTATAACAGCTGTACTCGTATATAATACCCTGTTCTGGGCAATAAATCTTAAAAACCCTAATTAGTCAAAACGGAAATTGTTGTTTAAAGATATCTCAAATCCCCATTCGGAGGACGGATGAACGTCTATCGGGTCCAAGCCTCCCCACAGAGCTGTGCAATCAACATTACTAAGCAAAATTATTGACTTTTCGGCTTAACGTTTATGAATGACCAGAGCACCACACACAAACACACACAGGCATTCACACACTGCCAGAGCCATGGACGACAGGCCCTCCCACATCAGAGCACTCGAATCAAGCTACCTCTGCGCCCGACCGACTAACATCCACCCACCCACACTTGAGGCCACCCACAAACGGACGCACGAGCCGAGCACGTTTAAGTTTCCAGACACGTTGGCCAGCTTCTCATTGGAAATTCGTTTTGGCCGAACAAGTAAATTGGAAACTTTAAGCACCTTTCATGCCGGCTGTGAGCAGAGACTGGTCTGGGCCAGAATATGGCGATAAAGCAATTAAGGCACAGGCCGTTGACAGACGGCTAGCGAAATTCCCATATAGCATACATATATTTCAGGCCTATTTAACTATTGGAATCTTATCAGAGGCAGCGGATAAGAAATCAGCAAAGTAAATGGAACCAGCCATATTTAAGTGCCGTGAATGTCAGCTGGCCCAAAGCCCAAAATGTGAATCGAAGAATATAGAAATGTTCAATTGTTACGCATAGAGAAGCTTGACTGTAAATATATTCATATTTAATTGAAAGTCTTTTGATAGCCATCAAGCCTTCACCTACTTATGTGCATACATACATATGTACATAAAAACAGACATGTGTAACGATTTCAATGATTAACGTAACAAAATTTAATATTTTATGAATATCTATAGGGGGTATAGATAGTCTACGGACTATAGTCTTTTCTTGTCTTGCCAAAAATTAACTACTTTTTTAAGTATACAATCAAGGTATTATTTGTTTAAAGTTAGACTCTAAGCTAATGCCCTGTTAGTAGAGGAATTATTTTCAAATGTACTTCCCCAAATGTGGCTTTGTACAGAACCGTACATAAACATCTGTATTGAAATCCCTAAATTAAAAGCCATCGAAAAAATTAAGTACCTGATAGCAAAATATAACTCTGAAATAACTCTGAAACGAAGCTCTACTGTACACGCACACGTGCAGACTCAACCCGTCGCTTGTTTACTGCAATTCCAGTTGTTTTCGTCATTGTGCATAGCAACCAAACCCACACAAACACTTCAAACCGGGAGAGGGGGTGGCGGAGAATCGCATGTTGTCTTCGTGCGTTGCAGTCGGCGTCTGACGTCGACCGCAAACGACTCTTGGCGACTTGTTTTGATCGAATTCGCTGCATCTGCCATCATTGTCTGGCTTCGCCGGCAGCCCAGGGGCGCAGCCAGAGTGTATGAGCAATGCAGTGATCCACCTCCAATGAGCGCTATACGGCCCTGGGCAACGCGAGTTCGTTGTCCAGCCCAAGTCTGTTTTTCCGCCACACGCTTTGTTTCACTTTACATTGACTTGTTGCTGTTCTTTATGTCATTCCCTTTATCAGCACGAACGTTTGACGGCGGCAACAGCGCTGGGAGCTGCTCCAACACTTTCAGTTGTGTCTTGCCAGAGAGAGGTTCACAGATCGCAAAAGCTTCAGTATGGTTATCAATTTCGCAGCCGGTCCAGCCAAATTGCCCGAAGAGGTCAGCCGCATGGTCAGACGAGATCGTTCCGATCCAGTTCTAACCGAAATTCTGGTATTTTGTTTCCCAAATCTGTAGGTTTTAAAGGAGGTGCAGAAAAATCTCCTTGATTGCAATGGCAGCGGCATCTCGGTTATGGAAATGTCCCACCGTTCCAGCACCTACGGCAAGATCCAGGAGACAGCCATCAACGATCTACGCGAGCTCCTCAACATTCCCAGCAACTACAAAGTTCTTCTCATGCAGGGCGGTGGCACTGGGCAGTTTGCTGCCGTCGCCCTCAATCTGATTGGAGTCACTGGCACCGCCGATTACGTCATCACCGGCTCATGGTCAGCCAAGGCAGCCAAGGAGGCGGCCCAGTATGGCAAGGTGAATGCCGTTCTTCCCAAGGTAGCCAAATACATATCCGTGCCACGACAGAGCAGCTGGCAGCTGGACCCCAAAGCCTCGTACGTCTACTACTGCGATAATGAGACAGTCGAGGGCGTGGAATTTGACTTTGTGCCAGAAGTGCCGGCCAGTGTGCCGCTGGTGGCCGATATGTCATCAAACTTCCTTTCGCGTCCCATCGATGTTGCCAAGTTTGGGGTAATATTTGCCGGCGCGCAGAAAAACATTGGACCAGCGGGCACAACGGTGATAATTGTGCGCGAGGATCTCATTGGCAAGCATCTGAAGAGCACACCATCCATCCTGAACTTTGAGCTGATGGACAAGAACAGCTCCCTGATGAACACTCCACCCACATTTATGTAGGTTTCCAGGCGTTCAGTCTTTTTTTGCGTAGGAGAAGCTAATTTCCATTCTTTGCAGTATTTACGTGATGGGCTTGGTTTTCAAGTGGATCAAGCGAAATGGTGGCATTGCTGGCATGTCTAAGCTGGCCAATGCCAAGTCGAAGCTCATCTATGACACCATCGACAAGTCCAACGGCTTCTTTTACTGCCCCGTGGATCCGAATGTGCGCTCCCACATGAACGTTCCATTCCGCATTGGCAGCGCCGCCGGCAATGATGCACTGGAGAAGGAGTTTCTGGCCAAAGCCGAGGCTGATGGCATGATCCAGCTCAAGGGCCATCGCTCAGTTGGCGGCATTCGTGCCTCGCTCTACAATGCCGTCACCCTGGCGGAGACGCAGCAGCTGGCAAATCTCATGTTGGATTTTTACAAAAACAATAAAAATTAATAAATTCAATTGATTTATATTTACAACAGTCCACGCTGTCTGAAGATCTCGTCCAGCTTAAGTTCCAGGTTGGTATTGGTGCCGCGCAGATTATCCACCACCTGCTTGGCCCAAACGAAGTACAGCTCCCGTCGTTCCTGCAATATATAATGGGGGAAAGCTAAGATTGATTTTCTGTGCCGGCAACACTATTTACCTCCGTCCATCCCTGCGGCGTGTTGACCAGCAAGTCCCTTAGATTATCCAACTTATCAGCCAGCTTAATCAGCTTAGCCCTGGGGCTCGTCTTGGCCGCATTGGCAATTTGCAAACGCTTGCGTTCCTGCTTATCCAGCGATTTGTCGTCGGTCACCTCCCGTACCAGACCACAGACATCGGCACCGAACAACGCCTCCAAGTCTGCAAACGTGGCGTCCGTGTCCTCGACCACATCGTGCAGTATTGCAGCCATTAGAACTGCTTCATCCTCAATGCAAGCCTCTACAGCCAGAATTGTGCTCACATTTATCACATGATTTACGTATGGCGTTTGTGCTGGATCCTTGCGCCGCTGGTCCCGGTGTTTGTGTGCTGCATACTGCAGACATTCCATAAACCTACTGGATGGATGCGGTGTCATTTTTTAAATTATAAACAAATTGGTGTACGGGTTTCATCTGTTTTTGTCCTGTTTCTGAAGAAAAAAATGGACAGGGTTTGGCAAAGTTATGAGAGATAATCCATCCATATATTTACTTATGTGGAGCAATGTTTGTATGCTTGGACCCTAAATTGCAAATGTAAATTATTACTTATGTTTGTTTTGCTTTATTTATCTTTATCGGCAGACCTATCGCTACAAACTTAGCCCACTAAGCCCCGAAAACATAAACAAAAAATTATCGGTATTTTTGTGCGATAAATGGTACGAAATTTGTGTGCAGCCCTGGTTTGTCTTTTGATCGCAGCGCGCGCTGAATTTTTCTTCTGAACATGTTTTATTGTTTTATACAAACTAGAAAATTGCAATTGGCGTTGTTTTCCAAGAATAAATAAATATTACTTGGTCTTGCCATTTCCCTCGTTCTTCTTGTGTTCAAATTTCGGGCAACCTTCATCGGTCTTGGCGCTGCCATTGCCCAGGTCCTTTCCCTTGCTCTGGCCATTTCCATTTCCAGTGAAATCCGGCACGTAGAAAATCTTGCGTGACTTCAACGCCGACCACTTATGGCGCTTAATGTAGTAGCTGATTCCAATCAGGAACGAACTAATAAGGACCACCTTGATCAGCAGCAGCTTGCGCTCATCCGACTCCGGCTCCGAGGTCCACTTGAGGAACGTGACCACATCCTTGGCAATCTGGGAGCCCGATGGGGCAACCTCATCGTCTGCGTAGGTCACAACCTCGTTGTTGATCACCTGGCCCATCGATATGGCGCCGCCAGAGAAGTACGGATTGAAGTACTGCCCATCGCGCAGTCCGAACCCAGCTGGCGGCTCACAGTAGCCTGTCAGCAGTGCAAAAATGTAGTCCTCGCCACCCTTGCGGGCCGACACGATGTAACTCAGATCCGGCGGATAGGCTCCGTTGTTGGCCGAGCGGGCGGCATCCTCGTTCGGATAGGGTGACGGCAAGTAGTCGGACAGCTTGCCCGGGCGCTCGAAGTACTCGCCGTTATCATCGGGTCCATCCTTTACCATCACCTGCTCGGCCTCTGCCTTCGCCTCAGCTTCGGTCATGCAGTTGTTGGCCAGATTGCGGTATGCAATGTACTGCAGCGAGTGGCACGAGGAGCACACCTCCTTGTACACCTGGTAGCCGCGGCGTACAGCCTCCCTGTCGAGGGCCGACAGTAGACCCTTGTGGGACCACAACTGCTTCGGTGGGTGCACACAGTCGTTTGAGGCATCCACGCTCGCATCCAGGGCGTACAGCATAGCTCCCAAGCCGGCAGTCAGAGCGCCCAGCGCCAGCCATTTCGGACGTCCTGGGATCCAGTTGCGGGCCGAAAAGCTAGTCTTTGGTCGCACGGGTGTGCGGTTCAGATAGCCCTTGGAAAATTGCAGAAGCTTTGAGCTAACATATCCAAATTTGTTAGCCATGACGAAACTTTTCTTTTCGCAAAATCTTTTCACGGCGACACAAAAATTATATTCTGGCGTTTGGTCAGTGTTGTACAACTTTTTTTCTTGAGGAATGAGTTGCCAAGCAGTTTTAAAATCTAACAAATCAGGTTGCTACAAGAGATTTATGAGCTTAAACACTTTTTCAAGCTGAAAATTGCTGAAGCGCAGCTTTTACTTATCTGCGATCTTTCTTCATAAACCATATGTAAAAAAATACCCACCCCCCCAAATATTACTGTTATTCTGTAGGAATCAAAAACTCTCTTAGAGATAAAAAAAAATGAAAAAATTAGAAACTGTTGAATCAACTTTGTGTTTCTTTTGTTGTAACGATCGCCTCCTCTTGCGTTTTCTTCAACCACTTACAACCCCAAAGGCCCCAGCCAGCGGAGCAACAACTGCCGGGGCACTTTCATTTCTTATCTGGCGCAATAATCTGTAAATCTGTAACAGCCCACCAAACAACGGTGCATACAATATTTCCTAGCCATTCTTCACACTGTGTGACCACGAAATCGTCAAAGTCAGGCCGAGAGCAGAGCCCAGCCCCAGTGTTCAGACTGCAGCTCAACGGTCTGGGCCCCCGACGTCGACGGAGCGAGCGATGTAAACTGTTTTTGGTGGAAATTTGTACCTGATTTTATATTTCCCTTTTTTGTTACACTGTTATTACGTATTTCCATGTTTACCATATTTTTACACGCGCTTACAGACTGCTTTTTTCCATGCTTCTCTGCGAGTGTGGAGTGAAGTGACTGTTTGTACTGCGTTCTGCTTCTGCGCAGCGATGCATAATTCCCACTTTTTGGATTTTTGTGTGCCATGGTGTGCTGTTGCTGCCTTCTGCGGTGGTGGTGGTGGTTGCCTTTGCTGCTGCGCAATTAATAATTCTTTTCGACTAGCGTGAAATTTTCATAAAACAAGAAAAAGCAACAACCGCACCAACTTTCCATGAAAATCTCCGGCCATTAGTAGCAATCGCAACGCTTTTCCCTCCCCCCTCGAGACCAACACGAAGAAAAGAGACAGAGAAAGAGGTAAATGAGGAAAGAGACTTGGAAACCACAGAGAGATTGGTCGACCTCATAGAAATGGGTTCACGACATAAATTTTATTTAAATTACAAACTCATTAATATATGACGTTGTTGATTTTTCCTAGTCAACGGAGCTGATTGTTCAATTTGATCCAACTCTATCTGCCAGTGTTGCGCAGCGGATGGGCAACGCAACAATGACATATTGGAGTAGCATAATATAAACATTCTTAAGTTGATTATTCGCAAAAAAGGCGATCTGCAAATAAAAATGCCTGCATACAAACAGCAAAAAAGTATGCATAATTTTGCAATAAATGTAAATATTACTGGTCCGTCCGCTTCCTTTGGGAGAAGAGACAAAGCGCCATGCTGCTGTAGTTTCCTGTTGCGTTGCCCCATCGCCGCTCGGCTCCACCACGATGATGATAATGACGATGATGCTGTGCGCTTTGCTGGCCTGGCCATGTCCCACTCCTTATCTTGGCAGCACGAAAACCAGAAACAAGAATTATAGACCAAAAGCCAGTTGCAATGTAAGTGCACCATGTACCGTAGGTGTGTGTGGGGGCAATGTACATATGTATGTATGCATGTATGTGCATATGTATGTATGCATGCATGTAGTTGGTGAATGTGTGCGTGCCTGCGGCTAGAAGTGAAGTGAAGGCAGAACAAAACATCTGCTGCAGTGTTGGTCAGCGGTGAAAATATATGCATTGATTTAATGTGAGGGGATATGGGGGCTACTAGATTTATTGCATGGAAACAATCCGATTTATTTATGAACAATAAGTCGATTAGAAGGATTAAATACATTTCTAAGGGCGTATCTTTACGATTTTTTGCACAGTGAACAGAACAGCTGATCGATCGTCAGAATCAAATGTGAACATGCTCTCTTATCGTTCAGGTTCTCATTCTCGTTGCCATGTACTTTTCAATCTCGCAAAAAAAAAAAAACCAATGTTCCCCTATGTACAACAACATCACGATCGGGTCTGGCCATGTGTGTGTGTGTGTTTATGTATAGCATGCGGTTGCTGTGCTTCGGATTTTTGTAAACTTTTGCCACAGCTCTCGCGGTCGTCACTCACACAGAGAGGCGGCTTGTGGCATAGGCACTCAGGGCTTGCAAAACGAAAGGGGAACGGAGGAAGACCCAAACTTCATAATGACGTTGTAACTGTCTTTTCAATTTCTCGTTTTGCCCGATTCGGTTTGCCAAATGGAGCCTAGTAGATACACAGCTTAATCGCTCTTAGCTGAATCGAACCCTTTCACGGTAGCAGCAGAGCTGTTAGCAAACATTTAGGGATGTATGTATGTACATACAAACCAAACTATTATTCATCTATTCATCTATTTGGAAATGAAAGAAAGGAAGCAGCACACGGCTAAATAATTCTTATCTTAAGAGCTACTACAAAAATCATGGAAAATCGTTCATTTATGTTAGTGATCCCTAATATAAAGCTTATGCTCATAGCTGAACGAGTGTTGGCCCTTTTCCTGGAGCAGACCAGAGCTGTTAGCTAAAAATTGTTCTGCTCAAGCAGAGACAGCGGCTGTGGCAGGGCCTGGAACTGGAACTGGGAACACTGAGCGTGGGGCTGAAGATGGATCTCTGTCAGAACGTTTGTCCGTGTTCTGTTCTCTTCTCTTCTCTTCTGTTCTTTTCTCCAGCCGCAGCAATTGACTCGTGCGTGTGGCTAAGTGTGTGTGTGTGAGCAGCTCCCAAGTGAGTGTTGGTATCTCCCCAACGACGTGGTTGTGGATGTGGATGTGGATGCCGTTGATGAGTTTTGTTTTAATTCTGCTTCTTGGCTTCAATTTCTTATAAAAATTGTTTATATGCACGTAATAGTTGGTCCCTCTGTCTCTCTCTCTCTCTCTCTCTTCGAGTGTATGTGTGCCTGTACAGCCACACAGATTCATACACTTTCACAAAGAGCGACTGTTGTTGTTGCTGTGATTTGGTGAATCGCGCGTAGCCGATTGTAATTATTGTAATCGAGTCTCGAACCGATCCAATCCGATACGATACGATCGCCTTAGCAATAGCAATAGCCCATTGCCGCTTCCAACTCAGGCCGCCTCGACATCAACATCAACATCAGCATCTGAGCATCTGAGCATCATCGTCTTCGGCTGATTTGATTTTGTTTTAGTTGTTTTGATCATTTTGTAATAGTTTTCTTAGTGCAGCGGTCTGTTTAAATCATCTTGGCCAAGGCAGAGTAGAGCAGAGTATGAGCCTGAGTCAGAGCAAGAGCAGAGCCAGAGACTCCAGCCAGATCTCGTGATCGTTTTGGCTTGGCTTGAATTGAGCCGAACAGTGCCCGAGCCGAGCGCGCGCTTTTCTCTTTGATGCCAACGTCATAGGCCCAGTCATGATTGTTGTTGCTGTTGTTGCTGTAGCTTTTGACTAAAAGTTGATTGACTGTCTGTTCATTTAGCCGCTGCTTGAGCATGGCTCGCTCCGTTTGTTGGCTTTGGCTTTGGCTGTGAAGCTTGTTGGTTTGTTTTGTCCATTTGCCATCTCTGTCGTGCCCCCCATCTTCATCTTCGGCAGCGTCAACGGCAACGGCAGCGACAGCGGCTTCTCTTGCACATTTCGTTTTAGGCCATTATAGTTTTGAACATGTTCAAGTGCC